GGAGGGGAAGGGAAGGGAAGAAAGAAAGGAAAAAAAAGGGGGAGAGAGGGTGAGAGGGAGAGGGAGAGAGGAAGGGAGGGAGAGAGAGAGAGGCAGACAGACGGAACACCCATGGGAAACCAGGTCATCCTCTCTAACCATAATTCTCATCTTCATCTTCATACACCAGTACTTCTCAACTGCAGCACTACTGACATTTTGAACTACAGAATTCTTATTTGTGCAGGGCTATCCTTTGCATTACAGGATGCTCAGATATCCCTAGCTGGATAGAAGAATCCTTTCCCAATTATGGCAACTAAAAATATGTCAACTGAGTGACTATTCAAATATGTCACTCTTTCAAAAGCTTCCCTCACCATCTCAATCTATTCTCTCAATATTCTGCTACTACTTTTAGTCAATTCATTTATTCAGCTTTTCACCATTAAGATAAAAGTTTTATAGCTGCCTTCTTTCCTGAGACATCTCCAGCATTCTGACAAGGGCCTGGCATATAGCAGGCACTTGTAAATGAATGATGTCATTTAATCTATATCAGGGCTCTTTGAAATACTGGAAACACAGGGACCTGAGGCAAAGGGAGGCTAAGAAACTTGCTGACAGTATGCCAGCCGGGAAGTTGTATCTGACTCCAGAACTTGTGTGTGTGTGATGAGTGGTACCGAGGTTTGAACCCAGGGCCTCACACATGCTAGGCAAGTACTCTAACACTAAGCCACAGTTCCAGCCATCATGTCTCATTTTTATGCTATACTCTGTAAGCATGAAAAATTTCCCTGAAGATCTTATATACACAAAGGTTTTCATCTAAATGATCTGCATACATACTGAGGTACGATAAAGGTACTTATTAAAAAATTAACTGATCATGAAGTAGTTCAGCAAGAGGATTCTATCACGTGGCAATGTCACCAGTTTGTCCTCTGACTAAAGAAGAATAAAAATCTAGGAAATGCAATTGACATATAAGGGTATAGGCTGGGTATTGTGACACATGCCTATATCTCAGCATTTGGGAGGGTAAAGCAGGAGGATCTCCACAAGTTCAAAGCCAGCTTGGACTATATAGCAACATCCTGTCTCAAAAACGGGGCTGAGAAGAATATGAAAGATGTTTTATCAAGAAATAATTCCAGGGCCAGGATTTGGCTCAGTGGTTCTGCTGTCTGCCTTGTAAGCGAAAGGGCCTGAGTTTGATCCCTGGTACAAAAAAAAGAAAAAAAGAATTCCAGTGAATGTTGAAAATGACATTAGACAAAAAAATTAGAAAATTAGGTTTATTTAAAAGAACATTCTATGGGATATGAGTACCATATAATCTTTCTTTTCCAGGTATGAGATTCTAAGGTCCCAGAAGTTAGGCTTAATTGCACTCCAACAGAGCACCATATGTTAACCTATACACAAAGATTGCTACCTGTCAAATCACCCTTTCATTCTGGTAGAATACTGGTCCTGCTCCTGTTTTGTTCTGGTGTCTCAATCACTAGGCAGTAGTGATTCCTGAGGGATTTCGGAGCCTAAACAATGTTCACAGAATGGCTGAGAAGGGTGGGGACAGGGATGTATAAGCAACCTCTTCTTGATGCTATCAATGAGCATTTTCCCAGATGTGGCTAATAGAAAATGTGCCCAGGGATGTTTTATTTACATTGTTTTATTTATTTGTTTGTTTGTTTGTTTGTTTTTGAGACAGGGTCTCATTATGTAGCTGATACTGACCTAGAACTCACTATGTAGCCCAGGCTTGTCTCGAACTCTCCGAGTGCTGGGATTACAGGCGTGCGCCACCACACCTGGATGCCCAGGGATTTTTTTTTTAAAGAAGACTGCTCTGTTTCTATTTGATACTACTGTTTAGGGAGCTACATACTACTTCAGACAGGAATTTTTGTTTCGACAGAGGAAGGAGGCAAATATGAGACAATATTGACATTTAAAATAAAAAATTAAATGGTACTGATAAAAAAACAATCCCACTCTTACAAAAAAACACATAATAGGCCAGGCATGTGGCACACACCTGTAATCTCAACACTAAGGAAGCTGAGGAGGACTGCCAGTGAGTTCAAGGCCAGCCTGAACTACAAAATGAGACCTTGTCTCAAATAATAGTACACATGTTTAAATATTGCACTGTTTCTCTGGTGTGAGAAACTGAAAGTGGAAATAAGGACTTAGGTATAATAGATACTGGGAAATGGGAAGAAAATGTGTAAATGAGAAAGGGAAAAAGGGAGGGGAGAAGGGAAAAGAAAGAAAAGGACAAAAAAGAGAATAGAAACAAAAAATGGAAACAAAACTTTTATAAATAAGGAAGGGAAGTGGGGTTGAGGGGGGACAATGGGAAAATAAGAAGCAAGATATATCATATAAAGGTATAAATTCCCCATGAGGAAAGTTATCATTATGTATATCTAAAATGCACCAATAAATGTTTTGCTTCAAAAAATAAAACTGGAAGGGAAAAAAATAATAGTAGAAAGAAATGGTATCTGCCATGGTTCCCCCATTTATATTTCCATCACTCACAAAATTTAGTATGATGGCAAAAGACACGATTACAGATAACTGTACTTATAAACTAAATGAGTGCTCTCAAATTTGGAAAGATTGTCAGAAGAGAATTAACCATAAGCATCTAAAGAACCTTCACCCTTCTCTCCAAAATAGGCAAGTATAACAATCTCTGACACTTAATTAACATATGCTAAATGATCAATCCCAGTGATGGACATTGAACAGTCACTAAGAATCCTTTTAAATTAAGAGGATATGGTCCTAATCCAGTTATTCCCTGAGTATCTGACAGTGCTTATACTAACAAGGGGTAAGTCTTCTCTTCAAAATGTTCTACCTAATTAATGTTTACTCCAAAGCATTTAGAGCATATCTCCATACTATGAGGAGAAAATACAGCCAAAGATAGGAGCAGTAAGTGTAATGAGTCATGCTGAATGGAACAAAGCTGACAAAAAGGCACTAGCCTGCAAAGAGGAAGAAACCTCATGTAATAACTACTCTTCTCTGGCAGAGCCTTCATTTAAGATGCTAGGCTCACTGCATTCATGTTGGGCAGTGGATACATAAAAATCAAATTATATGCCTAAGCTTCTTATTCTCACCTTACACATGGAAAAACTGAGACACCACAAAGAAAACTATTTGCCAAAGGAAATATCACAACAGAAGGATAGTCCTTCTAGAAATTCCTCCCAAAACTATCAGGCAGGGTTGAACTACAGACAAAGATGAAGCCAGATGTACTCCCAGCTCAGACTGAGCCAAGTGTATTATGATTCTGAGGCCAGCCTGGGCTACACAGTACGTTCAGGGCCATCAGGGACTATGTAGTGAGGCATTGCCTCAAAACAACAATGATAACCAAGACAGGTCACAATTCTATATGGTAAGCTGAGTAACTCCAAATGGTAAGTAGATACATATAAGGTAAGTACAAATTCAGATTCAACAGCTCTGACTTACTCAGCCAAGTACTTGAGCACCAAATTCCAATAGGCAAAGAAAAACAATGAATGCAACAGGCATGAGCAATCAACTCCTCTTTTCTCCCAATGGTTCTCTTTCAGAAGCAGCACATGAAGGAAGGACCTCAGTGCCACAGGAACTTCCATCAGTGGTATATACCCCAGGTCTGCATGTTACCACTAACCCCGAATTTCTGTCCCAGGCAAACTCTTGGGGTCCCATGCAATCAAGGACTGTTCTTTGCATCAGGATCCCCATACCTGTCACACTCCAAAACTTTCATATTTTTCCACTTACATTCTTTGAAATCTAGTCCAAGTGCAACTGTGCTCCAATTTTAAAAATATACTGTGTTCATTAACCCTTCCAAAGACACCTTCCTAGGCTTTCTTAAAAGTTCTGCTCACAACTGCTTTTTGGTAGGAAATGTGGTATGCTCCAAGGATAGATTTCATGGACCTTTCCAAAGTGAAATCATTTGAAACCCTCCCTCCCCATACATTAAAAAATATATCCTTTCAGATCATTTGACCGAAGTATAAAGCAACCTGGTTGGCCTCCATGCATCCGATGGCATCTTCCAAGAGTGAAAACTCCACGCAGACATAGCCATAGTCGTAACCTGGGGACAGCATTTAAATACAGACGGGAGTGGTGTTAGTGCCTTGCAAACACAAAAGACACACTTCAACCCCGTTTCTGAATCCCTTAAACACAAGCCCTCCCAACGAGCCCCTCCCTCCCCTACCCTAAGCAAAGTTGCTACCAAAAGAAAAAAGTACTGAAGGAAAGTCTGGATGTTTCTGAACTTTGAGATTCATTCCAAAACGGCTTTTTCTATTAACCAGGAAGATCTTTGCCCTCTGTAGCACTGCTGATCTGGCAAGGGTGTCCCAGAACTAGGAATTCCCACAGAAGTTCATATGGGAACCCAAAATATTTTAACCACAGGCTGATCTCCTAGAAAAACAAAGTCCACAACAGCAAGAAAGTATCAGGGGAAAAAATGTATCTAGAGAGAAGGAAAAGAAGCAATTATCCAAAGACTATGCTAATGGTCATCACGTTTCAAGCAGAAACCACCTTCAAAGAGAATTGCTGACAGACTGAGGCAACTATTCTGTTTAGAAACCACAGAAGGCTTCTGGTTAACAGGGGACAGACCCACGTCAGGCCTCCCCCACACACACCTGTTTCAAGTATGTCATAAACCAGCTAAAACATTTATGAAAGGAAGACAGTATAAAAGCGTAAATATGAATGAGTCCAAAATTGTGTGTATGCACAAAGACTACAGGTGAAGCTCACTTGGGGGAAAATAGCAGTTGTTAGCAATCAATATATGTCTAAGAATTTTATGTACCATTAAAGTTTTAAAATACCCTTCAACTTACTCCTGAGCAGCTGTCTCTTGCAGCACAGGCCTAAAGTACTCATGACCCATGAGATTAGGAAGTCATGGGATTTACAGGCTAACACTAACCCACCACTCTACAACTTTCCTGATGCTGCCACTATATGACTATAAAAGCACACTCAGCATTGCAGTGTTCCACAAGCGGCTTACATGCTTCCTCTATGGTCTCACAGGACAAAAACCTCAGCTCTAGGTGTGACACTATACAAATGAAATAGCAAGAAAAAGCTGTGATTTTGGTTCATATGAGAAAAACACTGAGGGAAAGAAAACCACACAAAACCAATGGCAATTTTATATATATTGTGTATATATAACAATAGAAAACTGACACTGAATCAAGTTATCAAGTATAAAGTATAAATAAAATGACTGGGAGTATAGAGCATGTGCTTAGCTGGAAGTCCAGGAGGACCCAGTACCAAAAAAGAAAGAAAGTAGAAACTAAAAATCATTCCATAGTTGGGTGTGGTGGCACATGCTTATAATCCCAGGACTCAGGAGGCTGAGGCAGGAGCATTGCTGTGAGTTTGAGGCCAGCCTGGGCTACATAGTAAGTTCAAGGCAGGACTGGACTACACAGTGAGACCCTGCCTCAAAACAACAATAAAAAAGATACTTAAAAATCATACCAAATTTAGAGAAATGAATTGCATTCCTTATTATATGGAATGAACAACCTAAAATATTTTACTATGACAGAAATAAATTTTCAATTTAGACTCTACTCCAAGTTCACAATACAATGTTACAATATTTAGGAAAATGCTCTGCATTTTAGGAGGTGACCAGGAAGAAGAAATGGAAGTTACTATAACCCAGCACTACCTCAAATTTTCCATCCTAATTTTGTAGCTTTAACCAACAAATTAAAACTCCAACTTCTATGTAAATCTAGCACAAAATCAATCTCCTCTGACTAGTGATTTCAAAGAAATAAAACGATGACACAGTATACATATTTGTATATAACCCATTAACCACAGGAACTGTTTTTTTTTGTTGTTTATTTGTTTTTTGCAGATGACTTTTCTGACCAAATTCAGTGCACATCCAATAAATGCAATATTCTGCATTTTGTAGTGTTCTTAATATTCTTTGGAAACAGGTAGACTAACAGAAGGAGCTAAGATGCTTGTCACCAAATATCTACTGCAAACACTCAAAATCATATCTACAGTCAGAAAAGATTGGCCACAGAACAAGCAGTTATGCTCCTAAATATATTGATTACCTCTACAAAATACATGAAAGGACTGCCCAGACATATAGAAGGCAACCCTCTCAGCCAGGCATGTGGTAGATGACTGTAATCTCAGCATTTGGGAGACTGAGACAGGAAGATTATAATGAGTTCGAGGTCCGCCTGGGCTACACAGTGATTTCAAGGCCATTCTGAATTACCTTGTAAGATCCTGTCTCCAGGGAATAAAAGAAACAAAGAAAGAAAACCTATATACAGCTTCCAAAATGAAAAACATAGAATACTGACATCAAATTCTTGAAAATCTGTTTTGTTTTGTTTTGTTTTAAACTATGGAACACTTCACAAATTTGTTTGTCATCCTTGTGCAGGGGCCACACTAACCTTCTCTGTATCATTACAATGATAATGTATGTGCTGCTAAAGCAAGCACCTGTTTCCTTTCTGTGCTTAAAAAGTGACTACTGTGGCTTAGAGGAATACACAGAATCTCTGGATAGAGGGAAGATTCATGACAATATTTATATTTTGCTAAAGTGATACCAAAGTCACTAGGCAGGAAAATAAACAAGTCTACAGGAGCCATTATGAACATATGATAGCACTGTATAGGAACCTAGTGATATTAAATTGATACTTAATTTCTTTCACCTGAAACTTTAACTGTCAAAAAACAAAAACTTAAGGTAAATTATATTATCTAAAACTTAAAAAATAAAATAAAATAAAAAGTACCTAATATTTATCCTAGGCTTCTGTATGGTGCATACTCCAGTTGTACAACAAAAACTTTTGGAAGCTGCCAATAATAAACAATGACACAGTCTAAAAAATATTTATATAAACCCAGGCATGTGGTGTACACCTGTAATCCCAGCACTAAGGAGGCTGAGCCAGGAGGTTTGTCACTAATTCAAGATTAGGCTGGGGCTGGGCAAGGTCCCAAATTCAATCCCCAGTACCTAAAAAAAAAAAAAAAAAAAAAAAAAAAAAAGACTAGGCTGGGCTACACAGTTACTTTAGAGCCAGCATGAATTACAAAATGAGACCCTGTCTCAAAAAATCAACCAACCAAAACAAACAAACAAATAAATTTACACAGAACTTGTTGAAACAAGTTTCTATTTCAAAACACTTTACATAACATTCATCTCATTTTACATATGAGGAAACAGACAAAGGAAGGATAATTTGCTCAAAGTCACTTAAATAATAAGTAACAATACTGAGCTTGAAACACAGGCAGTACAGATTCAAATGGATGTTGTTTACCACTACCTTGTATAGCCCCTCACTCTTTAGTAAGATACTAGACTGATTTAAATAATCTGAATCCCAAACTCTGTACAGCCCAGTTAGAGTCCCAAATGCCTGAGCACAGCTAATCTCTGGTGTGTGGTTAAGACAGACAGTATGGGGCGGGGATTTAGCTCAGCGGTTCGGTTCGGTGGCCAGCCTTGCAAGCTCAAGGACTCGAGTTCGATCCCCGGTACCAAAAAAAAAAAAAAAAAAAAATGACAGTATTAACAAATACTGTAATAACATAACATATACTGCGATTTTGAAATATCTATGACAAAACCATTGTGAGTGGGCCTGAATAAGCAAGTTAGAAGTATTCTCTCTCAAGAAATGACTCTCCAGCCAGGGATATAGCTCAGTAGTGTCACTGCCTGCCTCACAAGTGCAAGGTCCTGAGTTCTATCCCTGGTACCAAACAAAAAACAAACAAAAAAAGAAATGACTCTCCAAACTGGCTCCCAATTCTTCTAAAAAGAAAAAATCTAAAAAGCCTTGGTGTAAAATGATGGTTATAGGGCCAGGGATTTAGCTCAGTGGTTCTGTCGCCCATCTCCCAAGTGCAAGGTCCTGAATTCGATCCCCACTACCAAAAAAAAAAAATTTTTTTAAATAAATAAATAAATAAAAGATGGTTATAAAAATCATAAAAGAGTAAGAAAAGATCCTTGATACAGTATATTTTAAAGCTTTACAGATATACCCTTGTGGATAATTACATGTGTTTAGAAAAAAAGAACCAGAATTAAATACAATGAAATTGCATCTAACTCAGAGATCAGAAACAAAAATCAGCATGTGAGATGAAAACCAGGCACTGTCAAAATTGTAGTTGATCTGAAGGTAAGGAACAACATACCATCTCTCAATATAGGTAAATCCAATATTGCCAGTTTTCCTCCAGCGTCGCAACAGACAGCTTTTCCTTTGGTTGACACTAGATAAAGAGGTTGGCTTGCATTTAAGGGGCATAATGTATGAAAAATATATTGCTTTAAATAAAAGAATCACAGCCAGCACAGTTAATGCTTACACTCAAAAGAAACGTGGAAATGGAAATCAACTGAAGCAACAGCCACGTCTCATTCCCAACTCAATGATCATTCCATGAAATGGAAAACATCATGTTGGATGGAGGGAGGGAAACAGGGTTTATGTAAGCTTAGATGAATATATAAAAATCTGAAAATAAATGTAATGCAACACAACTGTATGCCAAAATGTTACAGTGGTTGTATTGCTATAGTAGAATAATTAGGGACTTATATTACTTCCCTAATGTAATAATATAACTCATAGAAAAGGTTCTAGTAGGCACAGAGGATATTCTACCTACAGATAAAACGTTCTGAAAATAACTAACAAACTTTGCATTCAGAATTGCTGGGAACTATTGAGAATCATTAAGATGATAAACTCAGTGTTAACAGTTTCACAGATATTTAGCTGAGAGAATATAAAAAGATCTTTTATCTTTTCCTTCAACCATCACTTTCTAGGAAGAAGTCTGGTGGTCTGATGGGTCTTTGTGCTTACTTACTATTAAAAACCACACCTGACTCCATATTCTAACCTATGTATACAAATCTCATAGAAATAGGAATTGCCTTATGCTTTTTTAAGCTGAGAAGGATAAGAAAAAAGCAACAAGTGAAAGAAAACTAAAAAGTTAACGTGTCATTCACACACATTCACACACACACACACACACACACACACACACACACACACACACAC